GTATATTCCCTAGGTGTGTTTTGTGGTATATTCCCTCGGTGTGTTGTGTGGTATATTCCCTAGGTATGTTTTGTGGTATATTCCCTCGTTGTGTTTTGTGGAATATTACCTCGGGGTGTTTTGTGGTCTATTCCCTCAGAGTGTTTTGTGGTATATTTCCTCATTGTGTTTTGTGGTATATTACCTCGGTGTGTTTTGTGGTATAGTCCCTCGGTGTGTTTTGTGGTATATTCCCTAGGTGTGTTTTGTGGTATATTCCCTCGGTGTGGTTTTTGGTATATTCCCTCGGTGTGGTTTGTGGTATATTCCCTCGTTGTGTTTTGTGGAATATTTCCTCGGTGTGTTTTGTGGTCTATTCCCTCGGTGTGTTTTGTGGTATATTACCTCGGTGTGTTTTGTGGTATAGTCCCTCGGTGTGTTTTGTGGTATATTCCCTCAGAGTGTTTTGTTTTATATTTCCTCATTGTGTTTTGTGGTATATTACATCGATGTGTTTTGTGGTATATTCCCTCGGTGTGGTTTTTGGTATATTCCCTCGGTGTGGTTTGTGGTATATTCCCTCGGTGTGTTTTGTGGTATATTCCCTCAGAGTGTTTTGTTTTATATTTCCTCATATGTGTTTTATGGTATATTCCCTCAGTGTGTTTTTATGGTATACTCCCTCGGTGTGTTTCATGGTATATTCCCTCGGTGTGTTTTGTGGTAGATTCCCTCGGTGTGTTTTGTGGTATATTCCCTAGGTGTGTTTTGTAGTATATTCCCTCGGTGTGTTGTGTGGTATATTCCCTCGGTATGTTTTGTGGTATATTCCCTCGGTGTGTTTTGTGGAATATTTCCTCGGTGTGTTTTGTGGTCTATTCCCTCAGAGGGTTTTGTTTTATATTTCCTCATTGTGTTTTGTGGTATATTACATCGGTGTGTTTTGTGGTATATTCCCTCGGTGTGGTTTTTGGTATATTCCCTCGGTGTGGTTTGTGGTATATTCCCTCGTTGTGTTTTGTGGTATATTCCCTCGGTGTGTTTTGTGGTCTATTCCCTCAGAGTGTTTTGTGGTATATTTCCTCGGTGCGTTTTGTGGTATATTCCCTAGGTGTGTTTTGTAGTATATTCCCTCGGTGTGTTGTGTGGTATATTCCCTAGGTATGCTTTGTGGTATATTACCTCGTTGTGTTTTGTGGAATATTACCTCGGGGTGTTTTGTGGTCTATTCCCTCAGAGTGTTTTGTGGTATATTTCCTCGGTGCGTTTTGTGGTATATTCCCTAGGTGTGTTTTGTGGTATATTCCCTCGGTGTGGTTTTTGGTATATTCCCTCGGTGTGGTTTGTGGTATATTCCCTCGTTGTGTTTTGTGGTATATTCCCTCGGTGTGTTGTGTGGTACATTCCCTAGGTATGTTTTGTGGTATATTCCCTCGTTGTGTTTTGTGGAATATTACCTCGGGGTGTTTTGTGGTCTATTCCCTCAGAGTGTTTTGTTTTATATTTCCTCGGTGTGTTTTGTGGTATATTGCCTAGGTGTGTTTTGTGGTATATTCCCTCGTTGTGTTTTTTGGAATATTACCTCGGTGTGTTTTGTGGTCTATTCCCTCAGAGTGTTTTGTTTTATATTTCCTCATTGTGTTTTGTGGTATATTACATCGGTGTGTTTTGTGGTATATTCCCTCGGTGTGTTTTGTGGTATATTTCCTCAATGTGTTTTGTGGTGTGTTACCTCAATGTGTTTTGTGGTATATTCCCTCGGTGTGTTTTGTGGTATATTCCCTCGGTGTGTTTTGTGGTATATTCCCTCGGTGTGTTTTGTGGTATATTCCCTCAGTGTGTTTTGTGGTATATTCCCTCGGTGTGTTTTGTGGTATATTCCCTCGGTGTGTTTTGTGGTATATTCCCTCAGTGTGTTTTGTGGTGTGTTACCTCAATGTGTTTTGTGGTATATTCCCTCGGTGTGTTTTGTGGTATATTCCCTCGGTGTGTTTTGTGGAATATTACCTCGGTGTGTTTTGTGGTCTATTCCCTCGGTGTGTTTTGTGGTATATTCCCTCGGTGTGTTTTGTGGTATATTCCCTCGGTGTGTTTTGTGGTATATTCCCTCGGTGTGTTTTGTGGTATATTCCCTCGGTGTGTTTTGTGGTATATTCCCTCGGTGTGTTTTGTGGTATATTCCCTCGGTGTGTTTTGTGGTATATTCCCTCGGTGTGTTTTGTGGTATATTCCCTCGGTGTGTTTTGTGGTATATTCCCTCGGTGTGTTTTGTGGTATATTCCCTCGGTGTGTTTTGTGGTATATTCCCTCGGTGTGTTTTGTGGTATATTCCCTCGGTGTGTTTTGTGGTATATTCCCTCGGTGTGTTTTGTGGTATATTCCCTCGGTGTGTTTTGTGGTATATTCCCTCGGTGTGTTTTGTGGTATATTCCCTCGGTGTGTTTTGTGGTATATTCCCTCGGTGTGTTTTGTGGTATATTCCCTCGGTGTGTTTTGTGGTATATTCCCTCGGTGTGTTTTGTGGTATATTCCCTCGGTGTGTTTTGTGGTATATTCCCTCGGTGTGTTTTGTGGTATATTCCCTCGGTGTGTTTTGTGGTATATTCCCTCGGTGTGTTTTGTGGTATATTCCCTCGGTGTGTTTTGTGGTATATTCCCTCGGTGTGTTTTGTGGTATATTCCCTCGGTGTGTTTTGTGGTATATTCCCTCGGTGTGTTTTGTGGTATATTCCCTCGGTGTGTTTTGTGGTATATTCCCTCGGTGTGTTTTGTGGTATATTCCCTCGGTGTGTTTTGTGGTATATTCCCTCGGTGTGTTTTGTGGTATATTCCCTCGGTGTGTTTTGTGGTATATTCCCTCGGTGTGTTTTGTGGTATATTCCCTCGGTGTGTTTTGTGGTATATTCCCTCGTTGTGTTTTGTGGTATATTCCCTCGGTGTGTTTTGTGGTATATTCCCTCGGTGTGTTTTGTGGTATATTCCCTCGGTGTGTTTTGTGGTATATTTCCTCAGAGTGAATTTATCTTTTGACGTTGACATTTGAAGTGTGTACTACCTTGTATAATTGCTGCTCATCCCCCAGGCTTGGTGATAGATGTCTGTGACAGTCAATATATTTATATAACATGTCTTTCCTTCTTAGAAATCAAAAACATTGAAATGCAATGGGATGTTTTAAATATAAAAAAACTATTATGCATACGATTTGTTAATTAATTAATTAACTAATACAAGCTCATTCACTGGGCTGCACCATGCTCGTATCCTCACAGATATAAACGGTTCGGGGTGATTGACAACAACAAAATGGGAGGGTCACATATCAAATATAATCAGCAAATGTTTGGAGCGATACACTATTATAACAGTGCTATAAAACATCAGTGATAATAGCAAGGGCTGCATTTCAATATTTCGGATAAACATACAACCTGCATGATTTCACAGATACATCCTTATTACATAAATGAAAAGCATCACCCTCCAAAAGCAATCAGTTCCTGTATAAAAAACAATCATCATAGAATTAGTCTTATAGTAACCTATATATGTGCGCAATACATCATACGAGCTGTATTCTTTGCCAAAGTCGCTCCTCCGCCTACGTAAACGTGTTGAGTACTATGTGTTACCCGCTCTTCCGCCTACGTAAACGTGTTGAGTCCTATGTGTTACCCGCTCTTCCGCCTACGTAAACGTGTTGAGTCCTATGTGTTACCTGCTCCTCCGCCTACGTATACGTGTTGAGTCATATGTGTTACCCGCTCTTCCGCCTACGTATACGTGTTGAGTCCTATGTGTTACCCGCTCCTCCGCCTACGTATACATGTTGAGTCCTATGTCTTGCCCGCTCCTCCGCCTACGTAAACGTGTTGGGTCCTATGTCTTGCCCATCTCCTCCGCCTATGTATACATGGCGAGTCCTATGTGTTACCCGCTCCTCCGCCTACGTATACGTGGTGAGTCTTATGTGTAACCTGCGCCTCCGCCTACGTAAACGTGCTGAGTCCAATGTCTTACTGGCTCCTCCGCCTACGTAAACGTGTTGATTCCAATGTCTTACTGGCTCCTCCGCCTACGTATACGTGATGAGTCTTATGTGTAACCTGCGCCTCCGCCTACGTAAACGTGTTCAGTCCTATGTCTTACTGACTCCTCCGCCTACGTAAACGTGTTGAGTCCAATGTCTTACTGGCTCCCCCGCCTACGTATAGGTGGTGAGTCCTATGTCTTACTGGCTCCTCCGCCTACGTATAGGTGGTGAGTCCTATATCTTACCCGCTCCTCCACTTACGTTTAGTAAGGTCAACTGTTTAGAAGTATTTGTCAGATTATGTTTTTAGCATGCTACCTGTTTTACCTTCCATTACCACATGATTGCAGTTTTAGAAGGTCGTTCCTGAACGTAGGGTTCATAAAAGCGTATATAACCGGATTTGCCACATTGTAAATGAAGTAGATATAAAAACCGAACTCATGGTACGTAATCCACTCCAAGGCCATCAACCAAGCCGGGAGAAAGGCTATAATAAATACTACCGTCACAATACATAGCATGATCGCCATCTTGATATTTGCCAGAAGAACATGATCCTTCTTCTCCTTCAGAGTGTTTTTAGGAGGCGCCGATTTCAGTGGGACAGTCTCGCCATTGTTGAGTTTCTGTGTCACAACTTTCGAACACGAGCCATTTTCCTTGATTTCCACGTTCGTGTCGACGGCACCTGACGTTGATGTTGCAGTATGATTAATTGAAGTGATTTGGGTCGTTTCGTCTGTCTGGACCATGGTGGTGGAAAACTGTTTTGTTCGTTTCTGTTTCTGTCTTTTCGCCCGGCGCGATATCACCGACCGGTATATGACCGAGTAAAGACCAATGACTAGCAGTACGGATATAAGAAAAAATGAGGCGTATACTTTCTGATAAGCCTCGCGGAACGATTGGGGTATGATCTTATTGGTAGGCACGCATACACCAGTATATATCAGTTCACACTGTTCAAGAGTTGATCCGTTTGAAACGTTCAAAGCAATTTCTGGAAACGTCTGGTACACGTCGTAGTTCAGAGCGGTGATTAGGCCAAGAACACATGCAAAGGCTCCGAGAAGGGAGACTGTTGTCTTAGCCCGCGGGACAGTCAGTATGTGGACGAACGGATGACAGATACAGATATAGCGATCTACTGCAATGGCTACCATGATGAAGGCTGACAGGGGCACATTGGACGTAATAAGGAAATTGTAAAACTTGCACACGGCATCGAAACGAAGAACATAGTTTTCGTAAATAGAGACAATAGTATACGGGATGACAATTAGACACGTGATGAAATCAGTTCCCGCCAACGCCAAAATAAACACAGATGACGTCAGGTGGTCCTTTCTCTGGGCATATACATATATGACGAGAATGTTTCCGATTGAGCCCACGACACTGAACACGGCCAACATGCATATGATGGCGATTGACGTGGTGCTGACAGGCTCATAGGGATACTCGTAGCTACATATCACGTCCGCTATACGAGTGAAGTTGTACTCCATCGAGTCGGCCAGGCTTCCATTGGAGTAATGCAGCTCTGCCATAGTTACTGCTTGTCTGGCAGATCGTTAAACCTGAAAAATACCAAATCAAAAACACATGTCAGGCTAGTGGTAACACTGCATAAATTGTCTGGAAACAAAACGAAGCACGTTAACCCTGCTCGAATCACGAGGTAATTGCTGAATATGTATATATTCATTGTTTTGTAAATGGAGTAAAATGAAAGGCGGGAAGAATATGTTAAATTTGTTTAAACTTATTGAATGGATTGGATAATTCGTGAATGTCAATAAGTCAGCTATTCTATACATATAAATACTGAGATTATCATTTTTGAAACAAATTGGCAAATCAAATTCCTTCCATGTTAACTCGTTTACGAGTAAATTGTCCTGATACACTTTGTAAACGCCGTTTTGGTATATTGAATAAATCGTTCAGTGTAGATGGTAAACTGTCCTATTGTTAAACCCTCTTGAATGAGTGACCGTTGCACCAGAACAATATTGTAATATAACAATGCAATACTGTGTTAGCAGTGTTGTGATGTCTGTGGCGCCTCAACAATACCATATTATGTTACTTGTAGCAGTATGGTGATGTCTGTGGCGCCTCAACAATACAATACTATGTTAGCAGTGTTGTGATGTCCGCGGCGCCTCGACAATACCATATTATGTTAGCAGTGTTGTGATGTCTGTGGCGCCTCAACAATACCATATTATGTTACTTGTAGCAGTATGGTGATGTATGTGGCGCCTCAACAATACAATACTATGTAAGCAGTGTTGTGATGTCCGCGGCGCCTCAACAATACCATATTATGTTAGCAGTGTTGTGATGTCTGTGGCGCCTCAACAATACCATATTATGTTACTTGTAGCAGTATGGTGATGTATGTGGCGCCTCAACAATACAATACTATGTAAGCAGTGTTGTGATGTCCGCGGCGCCTCAACAATACCATATTATGTTATCAGTGTTGTGATGTCCGCGGCGCCTCGACAATGCAATACTATGTTACATGTAGCAGTGTTGTGATGGCTGTGGCGCCTCAACAATACACTACTGTGTTAGCAGCGCTGTGATGTCTGCGGCGCCTCGACAATACAATACTATGTTACATGAAGCAGTATTGCGATGCCTGTAGCGACTCAACAATGCAATACTATGTTAGCATTGTTGTGATGTCCGCGGCGCCTCGACAATACAACACTATGTTACATGTAGCAGTGTTGTGATGTCTGTGGCGCCTCAACAATACAATACTGTGTTAGCAGTGCTGTGATGTCTGTGGCGCCTCAACAATGTCATATTATGTTAGCAGTGTTGTGATGTCCGCGGCCCCTCAACAATACCATATTATGTTACTTGTAGCAGTATGGTGATGTCTGTAGCGCCTCAACAATACCATATTATGTTACTTGTGGCAGTATGGTGATGTATATGGCGTCTCAACAATACCATACTATGTTAGCAGTGTTGTGATGTCCGCGGCCCCTCAACAATACCATATTATGTTACTTGTGGCAGTATGGTGATGTATATGGCTCCTCAACAATACAATACTATGTTAGCAGTGTTGCGTTGTCCCCGGCGCCTCGACAATACAATACTATGTTACATGAAGCAGTATTGCGATGCCTTAGCGCCTCAACAATGCAATACTAATTGAACAAATCCGACTGTTCACATCCATTTCTAACACATGATTTGGTTTTATCATATAGCTTATACATAATATTGAAAATTTTCCCAGTAATGTTGCTTTTTTGGATCTTTTTCCACAGACCAACTCTCCATACAGAAGCGAACGCCTTACTAAAATCGATAAACGTACAGTAACGTTTGTTTCCTAATGAAAAATATATTGAGATTAAAGAATCCAATACAAACATGTTATCGGTTGTAGAATGACCCTTTCTTAACCCAGCTTGGGCACTGCTTATCAGGTCAAATTCGTCAGAAATTTTATTTAAACGATTACTCAACAATACAATACTGTGTTAGCAGTGGTGTGATGTCTGTGGCGCCTCATTAACTTCCAAGTATTACAGTATTGTGACAATGCAATACTATGTTACATGTAGCAGTAATTATCCGGATCTTTTGGATCGCCTTTGTTTTTATATGCATGGTAGCAGTGTTGTGATGTCTGTGGCGACTCAACAATACAATACTGTGTTAGCAGTGGTGTGATGTCTGTGGCGCCTCATTAACTTCCAAGTATTACAGTATTGTTCAAATTCATTTGAAGCTAACTGTAAACCATCTGGTGTTTCTGAAAACAGGACAGTATCATCGGCATATAAGATAATGAATAGTTTGAGATACACTCCACGTTGCACCAGAACAATATTGTAATATAAGAATGCAATACTGTGTTAGCAGTGTTGTGATGTCCGCGGACCCTCAACAATACCATATTATGTTATTTGTAGCAGTATGGTGATGTATATGGCTCCTCAACAATACAATACTATGTTAGCAGTGTTGCGATGTCCGCGGCTCCTCGACAATACAATACTATTTTCCTAATGAAAAATATATTGAGAGCAGTATTGCGATGCCTGTAGCGACTCAACAATGCAATACTATGTTAGCAGTGTTGCGATGTCCGCGGCGCCGCGACAATACACTACTATGTTACATGTAGCAGTATGGTGATGTCTGTAGCGCCTCAACAATACCATATTATGCTACTTGTAGCAGTATGGTGATGTCTTTTACATTTTTTTCAACAAGATAAGTTTCTAAATCATTTAAATAAATTGCAAACAAAAATGGCGATACATTTTCGCCCTGTTTTAAACCGATCTCACAATTGAACAAATCCGACTGTTCACATCCATTTCTAACACATGATTTGGTTTTATCATATAGCTTATTAATAATATTGAAAATTTTCCCAGTAATGTTGCTTTTTTGGAGCTTATTCCACAGACCAACTCTCCATACAGAATCGAACGCCTTACTAAAATCGATAAACGTACAGTAACGTTTTTTTCCTAATGAAAAATATATTGAGATTAAAGAATACAATACAAACATGTTATCGGTTGTAGAATGACCCTTTCTTAACCCAGCTTGTGCACTGCTTATCAGGTCAAATTCGTCAGAAATTTTATTTAAACGATTATTAATAACCGAAGTGAAAACTTTGCCAAGGCACGAGACTAAAGTGATCGCTCTATAATTATCCGGATCTTTTGGATCGCCTTTGTTTTTATATACTGGTTTTATAATACCGATCTTCCACACATCTGGTATAGACGCAGTATTCAGAATAAGGTTAAATATTTTTTGATAAATTGGTAAAAATACATCCATTGTACTTTTTAGATATTCATGTAGGATTTGATCTATACCAGAGGCTTTACTATTCTTCAAATTGATTAAAGAAAATTTAATTTTATCAGTGGCAATTTCACCATTCAGATAATCATCAAAAATACTATTATCAGGATTTTCCAGCTCAAAATCGTCATCATCATAAACAGACTTGTTCAGATCCTTAAAGTATTCATATAATTCAGTAATACATATATCAGCATTACCTTTCTTTACAGATCCGTCACATTTATTCAAAATATTCCAGAATTGTTTTGAGTCCATTCGAGCAGTATTTCTTAACTCGCTTGACAATTTCTCCTGGTAATTTCTGTAATTTTTATTCAATGTTTTTCTATAAACTTTACTAGCTCTATTGAGATTAGTTTTATTTATAGGATTATTTACTTTGTGAAATAAGGCCTTGGCTTTATTAAATTCAACTCTGTTTAAGTGGCATTCCCTATTCAACCAAGGTTTATTATCACATCTCAACCTCCGTTTCCTGTAAGCATTGTTGCTACCAAAAACCTGCTTAGCAGAGTCTTTGAACAATTCACTAATTGAGTTAACAATGTCATTAATTTCGTTATTGGCTACATTGTCGCGTTGTTTATTTAATAATTCATTTAATTTATCATTAATTCTATGGAGATTACCTCTTTCATCATCTAGTATATGTTTTACAAAATCTTGTTCTTTACAGGATTTCCACTTTGTATATCGATTTTCATGACATTCGGTATTATATATACATTCATCAGTTAATTTACAAAGGCTAAATACAAGTCTACAGTGGACATCTGATATGAGTGGGTCAAAAACTTTGATTTCAAAATCTGTTGTATACCGAAACATATCTGACGACAGCAATAGATAATCTATAACGCTGACATCACTACATGTAGTTTTACCTATTTGTGCATCATTTCCAATCCGACCATTGGCAATATACATATTATTTTGCTTGCAGAAGTCAAGCAATTTATTGCCATAATTATTAACTTTAGCTTTAAATTGACTAGCCCTTCGCAGAGGAACATTATATAATTTCAACTTTTCAATATCATAGTAGTTATGTAACATGTAGCAGTATGGTGATGAATGTGGCGCCTCAACAATACAATACTATGTTAGCGGTGTTGTGATGTCCGTGGCGCCTCAACAATACAATACTATGTTAGCAGCGTTGTGATGTCTGTGGCGCCTCAACAATACAATACTATGTTAGCAGTGTTGTGATGTCCGCGGCGCCTCAACAATACAATGCTGTGTTAGCAGTGCTGTGATTTCTGTGGCGCCTCAACAATACAATACTATGTTAGCAGCGTTGTGATGTCCGCGGCGCCTCAACAATACAATGCTGTGTTAGCAGTGCTGTGATGTCTGTGGCGCCTCAACAATACCATATTATGTTAGCAGTGTTGTGATGTCCGCGGCGCCTCACACTGCCATATTATGTTAGCAGTGTTGTGATGTCCGCGGCACCTCAACAATACCATATTATGTTACTTGTAGCAGTATGGTGATGTATATGGCGCCTCAACAATACAATACTATGTTAGCAGTGTTGTGATGTCCGTGGCGCCTCGACAATACCATATTATGTTACATGTAGAATTATGGTGATGTCTGTAGCGCCTCAACAATGCAATACTATGTTAGCAGTGTTGTGATGTCCGCGGCGCCTCGACAATGCAATACTATGTTA